CGTCGACAAACACTGGATACTTTGTTGATTGCTATTATCTTATCAGCTTTAAGTTCTAGTCGTATACTTGAGTCTTGGTTCTACTTCGACATCTTTTGGATCGCTTTATCTTCTAGACGTTGATTTGTTATTGTAAATGGGCACTTCACTAAGCAGAGCAGACAACGATGCGATTCACCTTGAACAGACAGGATGTTCTTTGTGTTTTCGCTCCTCCCGATCACGCTTGAAGAAATTCTTTTAACTTTTATTGCAATGGGAATTCCGATGCTGGTCAATTTTGGAGAATGTTATAACTAGGATGAAACCTTTGCTGCAGGTTTTCTGGTTTTCACTGCATTTCTTTGTGGGTAGCTTTGAAGTCTGAGATTTGTTACCCCGTCCTCTGATTCACGGAGTTTTACTGGCAGTTGAAATACTCCTTGAATCTGCCCCGGATTTGTTGTTGTGGTGGGCTCCAGTCTCGAGTAAATCAGTTGTTTGAGGGCAAGCAAAGGTCAATTGTCCTTGCATCACATCTTCAAATGTTAAATTATTCAGGAGGCAAGACCTCTGGTCTAAATTATGGGACTGATTGGCTGACTCAGATACCACTTATGAAGGATACTAAGTAAGGCTGTCTATGATTTTACATCTTTGAGTTTCAAGGATAGATGTTAATATTACTAGTCACCCACTTATACATTTGTGGTGGCCGTCGATCCTCTGCTGATTCCGTAAACCCTCTCGATGAAGGCAACACGGTTAATAATATACTGATGATTTTGTGGCACTGAGCTTTTCTTGTTTACGCCCTCACGTCGAACACGTTTGGCATGCTCTTTAGTAGTCTATGATAGCTGTGATTGCACTCTATGCTTCACAGTCAATGAGGTAGCGCAAGTGCTACTGCCATGCTGAGGCACCTCAATCGCGGTTATTGATTCTTATCCAAAAGTGTTAATCCCTCGAGCTAGACAAACATGGCTATCTTATCAGCATTGGAGAACATTAGTGATAGATTACTCGCATTTTAAAAAGCCAGTGAATTGCCTTTTCCTCGATACATCTAGGACTATTACTTCGCAGTGAAGTTTTTGCGCCTAATGACGAAGTTGCGTGAGGCTAAATTGGCGGAGACTGGTTTGCCCTCACGAGTGCCGCCTCCCTATGCTAGCATCCCGGCGCCCGTTACCTCTACGCAGTTGCTTAGCCCCGAACACCCGCATCGCATTGCACTGCGTTGCCGCTTCATCATCAATCTTGTGCGTCGCCGACGTCCTATGCTCCCCTCCTCAACTGGTATCGCCATTGCTCCTGCCCCTCCGGAGTCAACGAACCTTGCAGGGGAGGTATCACATGGACATCTGGCGTCAGTGGCCGTTTCACCTCCAGTGTCGGAGGCGGGCCCCTACTCCACCCAACTGGGGCGCCCAACGAAATCCAATATAAATGCTCAGCGCATTATAGCCGATTTGTCAGTTGCTACAGCTCTGGACGAGGAGCAAAAGGAACACTTCAAAACCGAGGTTTGTTGCTGTATCTTTTAGTTACTTCAAGGAGTCTAACGTGTGCTTGCAACATTCATCTCGTCGGTGTTTTTCTCGCTATGCCATTAAATTCTTTGTTCGATTTCTGTTTTTACTGCAAAGCAGAAGCATTTTTTGAGTTGTAAATGCATCAGCTAGTAAATGTCTATGTGCATGCTGGTAGATCGTCAGTATGGATAGTATATCCATATCCTCACTCCACCTGTGTGTGTATTGAATTGGACTGAATTTGAAGGGTTCGTGTAGCCAGAAATACAGTAAAACCCACTTTATCTATCGAAGTACCTAAAGGTCGGCATTGAAAACTTGGGGTTTCAGATACGATAACATTTCAGACACACCTGAATTGTTGAAAGTGAGAGGACAGAAATTGAGTGAAGTTTGCCTATCTATGGCTATTTAAGAATTCTAAAAGACCAACTGCATTTTTCCATAATAGGCGGAAGAGGTAGCACTGATGCTAAAAACAGTGGACAATACACCGTCAAAGAAGACATCTGAGGAGCCTTCATCGCGGTTTGCGCGTCATAGGGCCGTAGTCGACCAGCGTCGACGTCTGTCTGTGCTCGCTCGTATCGAGCGTCTCTATGCCACCGTGCTTAACATCGATGAGACAAATGTCTCGCTGGCGCGTATTTTCGTCCGAAATGATGAGTGAGTTTTGTAAGCGGGGAATCCAATGTTCTCCCATTTAATAAGACGGTGTTAACATCTGCCCTTC